AAGGGAGGGAAGGAAGGAGGGAGGGAGGGAGGGAGGGAGGGAGGGAGGGAGGGAGGGAGGGAGGGAGGAAAGAGGGAGGGAGGGAGGGAGGAAAGAGGGAGGGAGGGAGGGAGGGAGGGAGGAAGGAAGGAAGGAAGGAAGGAAGGAAGGAAGGAAGGAAGGAAGGAAGGAAGGAAGGACAGACATACAGTGGCCCTATGGCTCTAGACGCCTACAACAGAGCAGTGGCTACCCTGGAGGACAGACGAGAACATGAAGTGGAGAATGACTTACGCAGCTTCTCGATGTTGGGCATGACCTTGCTACCTTTCTTCATGTACGATGCACGGAACCCGTCCACAGAGAAGATGATCAATGGAGGGCGGACAAACCTTAAACAGTAACACAATAAATCTCAGGGAGACCGCTGCCACACACACTCCACAGTGGGACCAGTCCACACCAGGAAAACCCAAGAAGGAAGGAATATAGAAAGCCTGAGCTCCCAACCACATAACGTTTGAGGCAACTGAATTCAGTTAAATTTGGCAAAATCACCATGGCCAAGAGAAAGTAGTTGATACTACTGTTGTTTCCTACCCTACAAACAAGAATCTTATGCAATAGTTAAATATATGGATATATTATGCATGCATGCATGTATGTATGTACATACGTACGTATATATGTATTATTTATGTATTATTATTTTCTCCCATTTGTAACCTGGAAAGTTCCTACTCATTCTCTAAAACCCAGCCCAAAGTTCCCTCTTCTATGATTTTAGCTGCCCATGCTTCCAAATTCCTTCATGATGTTAAGACATACCTCTTTTGCCCTAACATATACATTGTTGTGTATCTTACTACTGTCATCTGTTAAAAAGCTGCCCCTCTAGAGTTCCACGCTGGCCTAGAACTTGCTATGTTGACTAGGCCGGCTTCAAGTTCACAAACCTCCTGTGTTAGCCTCAGTGGCTGACAGACGTCTGTCGCCATGTCTGATTCCAATAAATGCTTATCAGACTTATATAAATACAATCAGACTCCATGAGTGATGTAAAATTAACCACAGTAACACCCTTTCCACTGGACCTCAGCATCATAGAAACATGCCTTCAAGTTTATTAGAAAATTTTTTCCAAGGTGATTTAAGTTGCAGAAAATTTTAAATGCCTATTAGCAAAAAACTCATTGACCCAAGCCAAGAATGGATGAAATGGTACTGTATTATTCTAAGGGTGTAGCTGGTCAGTCATAGAAGACTCAACTATGTGCAGGATTCTTTCTAAGAATTTGAATCTGACGAGCAACTCTTAACTTGAGACTATTAGAAGTCGTGTGAGAAATAAGACTTTTTAAGGCAGCCAGGTAGAAAGTCATAAATGCTTCATCCCATTCCACATATCCAAAGTGTTTAGATATCGTTATTTTTCCTTTCTTTTATTAATGCTTAAGATTTTTTAAGGAAGAAAAAAATAAAGATATCTAAACACTTATATTCTGCATTCCAGGCTATAATACATGCATGCATACATACATACACACATACATACAGATATTTAAAGACTAAATTATGAAACCACATTTGTTGAAAATGTATTGTTTGCCAAACATTGTAAGGCCCATGAAGTCTACACAGTTTCCTAGAAGGTAAAAGTACCCAGTTCGGATCACACTTGAGCAGAAAGGGTATCACTCAGTTTGACTGTCTGTCAGCAGAGAAGAGGGTTTCTGCCAAATCTGGTTGGAGTTACCTTCTTGCATGACAACTTTTAGAAGTTCTAGACTCTCGTCTTTTTTCCCCTCCCTCACACACTAACAAAGGCAAAAACAGAACTCAAGGAAAGCTACTGTGGGGGAAAGCAAGGTAGGAGGGCGGGGAATCGCTGCAGGAAGAGCAGTAGATGCACTTTGGTGGACCACAGCAGACCCCGAGACCCCAGAATACACAGCAGTGATAGGAGCAAGTTGAAGGAAGAAAAGAACATCAAAGCTTCAGCACAGGACTGGGGACAGGCTCCGCGGCTGCCTGCTGATCTGACTTGATCCCCAGAAGACATGCAAAGGCAGAAAGAGAGAATCAGCTCCACAAAGTGGTTGTCTGACCTCCAAGCACTTTGGCACAAATGCTTACATATACAGCCTGCATACATACGCATGTGCACACACACACACACACAAAAAATAATATTTAAGAGTGTTTTGTTTTATTTTTTTTAAAAGCATCAAGATAACTTGACTGGTATTTATAAGAACTCTTACAAGTTTATGTGTAGACATAGATGTCTGTCTTAAAATGTTTGTAGCCATTTACCCATCTAGCCTTCATTAGGGTTCATCAAGGAATGTAGAAGAATTCATAATATCTATAAGACAAAATACACTCACCCTGCAGGGCATTCAGGGACTTTTATTTCTTCACAGTCATCGTCTACCCAGTGTGATTCTCCTACAAGGAAAAATGGGGACTTTTATTGCGAAGTCTATTTATAGAAGCCATCCAGAGCCTAGAAGCACAATGCCAGAATCTGTGTGTCCTGTTTGGTAGTTGTTACTGGGACACCATCTAAAAAGAAGTTCTGAAATAAAGTCTAGTGTCTGCTCTGGCTTTTAAAGTACACCCATACATGGTGGGAAAGCTAAGATTTAATAACCTCAAATGGTGTTTATTTCAGCTTTCAGAGCCTAAATGGTTTGTAGATTTTTTTTTTAAAAAAAGTGGCGTCAGTGGACAAGATTTCATGTTTGTTTCCCTCCAAAAATAAACTGTTTGGTCATTAGATGGAACATTCTCTCCCTCCTCGGCCACTCTAGATCTCAAAGCCATAGAAAGCAAGACACAACTTCCCTTCACATAGAGAAAAAGGTTATGTTTCTAATCATATACAAGGATAACATGGACAATTGCGAGAGCTTTTTCTGATGGGCATGTGGAGAACAATGAATAGGGAAACCCAAGCTGCCTCTCGCTCTTCCCTTGCACCAAGATCTGAGAACCTAAGTCCTGTGTGTGTGGAGGCCACGGGTCTCTGTCAGGTCTTTCTTTCTGCCACTATCCATCTGATTTTCTGAGGCAAGATTTCTCAGTGAGCCTTAAGTTCATGGATTGGTTAGGCTTGCCGACCAATGAGCCCCCAGAATCTGGCTGTCTGCATCTACCTCTTTGTCTACCCTTGCCTTCTGACATACCCAAAAGGTCATACACTACAGTATCCATCTCCAGTGTGGCAATGCTGACGTGGAGTATTTAAGAAGTGACGCCTATGGAAAGAAACTAGGTTGTGAGAGGACCATGCTCACAAGAGATTAACACCTGCCTGTCTCTTAGGACTTCATTAGTTCCCACAACAATCATCATCAAGGTCAAACAGAAGGGACTTCCCAATAGGGGACTTTCAGCTTCTAAACTGTGAGCTATCTCATTCATAAAAAGGCCTAGCAACACGAGAGATATGAAGAAAGCATTCTTCGGGAGGAAAAAAATATCATTAAGAATTTACCTTACGTTCTCTAAGACAGGCAAAATATTACTTACCTTGAACTGACATAAATCTTGTGCCCAGGATCTTACAGAAACTTCTCCCATATAGAAAGCACTTGGAAGTCTCCCATGGCCCACACCTGTCTGGCTACTGGCTGACCAGGTAGGCTAGTAAGTAAACTGAATTATCTTTCCCAAGCACGAGTAGCTCAAGGCAGACACGTGAGATTCACTAGAGTAATGAAATCAGAATTCAAACCGCCAAAAATGGCCTTCCCCTGTCATGATCCAGTGACTAATGGCATCCAAGATCTTCCTCCTTGTTTTTTCCCTTCTCTTAATAGCCCTGTGTCTGCTTATTATATTTACTACATGAAGATTCAAAGGAAATAAATTCTTGACAGATGCTATATTTCAAAATAAAAGCCCAGCTGCTAGAGTCGAGGAAACCGCACAATGCAGCAGCAATTGAGGGAGGGTTCCGGATCCACTTACACCTCACAGGAACAACTTCCTTTTTGTCCTGGATCTTCTTTTTTCTTTCTTTTTTTTTAAATTTATTTATTTATTATATATATAATATTCTGTCTATGTGTATGCCTGCAGGCCAGAAGAGGGCACCAGACCTCATTACAGATGGTTGTGAGCCACCATGTGGTTGCTGGGAATTGAANATGTGTATGCCTGCAGGCCAGAAGAGGGCACCAGACCTCATTACAGATGGTTGTGAGCCACCATGTGGTTGCTGGGAATTGAACTCAGGACCTTGGGTAGAGCAGGCAATGCTCTTAACCACTGAGCCATCTCTCCAGCCCCTTCTTTTTTTTTCTTAAGTAAGGATTTATTCCAGCACATGCTATATCCCTAGTTAGCCCTTCCCTGAAGTCATTTAGCAGAGACATTTCATAAATATTTTGTGCCAAACATAGGAAAAGGACTTAAATTAGGAAATAAGAGGTAATGGAACCTATAGATTAAAAAAAAAATTCATGGTTTTTTTTTTCTTTTTGCTTAAACATCTCTATGTGACTACATGGTCCCTAAAATGTTTTACTATCTGGAGCTGTATCTTTTATGTTTTCTGTGGGTCACTGACCATTAAGATCATAAAAGTATCATATTCTACCTTGCACATACATATTATACAAATAAGACTTTGTGTGTAACCAGCTCTGTTGATGTTTTTACTGACTTCACCAGCAAGCACCCCCAGCCCTAAGCTGTTGCTAGGGCCTTGGCAAATGTCTTCCATCCACCAGGAACAGAGGTCATGTTCCAATGCTCCAAGCCACTCTGTGATTTATTCTTTGCTGCAGAGTCTCTTTTTCTGTTGCTATGATCAAATACTCTGAAAATAATAACTCCAAAGAGAAAGGGTTTATTTCAGCCCAGGCATCAAGCGACGGGGCACCATGGATGGAAGACGTAAGGCAGAAGGGATCTGAAGCAGCCTGTCTCACCTTGCTCACCATTAGAAAGCCCAGAGCAAAGACTGTAGGATAGTGCTCAGGCCATGGTACACAGCCCAGGAGCCCTTGCCTAGGGAATGGACCCGCCCGTAACAGATCTGCACAAGACGGCTGCCAGTAGCTATGCATCAGTCTAAGAGGGAACCACAGTGACCCACTGATTGCTGAGTTCTAGGGGAAGGGGCAGTTAAACCTATGGTCACATAGTTGAACATGGTTCAGTTCAGTGGAACTCAAAACAAAATGGCATAAACGTGGGAAATGAACTTATGGAGAGGGGGAGAAGAGGAGTGGAAGGAAGGTGAAAATGAGTGGAGGACTACCGTAAACAGAAAGTTCTAGATACAATGCATAAAAACTATTGAAGAACAAATTCTATCAATTTATTTTAAGCATATATGTCTTGGGGACTGGAGAGACTGCTCAGTGGTTAAGAGTGCATACTATTTTTGCAGGGGACCAGGGCTTAGTTTCTAGCATCTACATGATAACTTACAACCACCTATAACTCCAGTCCCAAGGGATCTGACACCTTCTGCTGACCTCCAGGCTTGCATGTGGCTCACAGACATTCATGCAGGCAAAACACTCACATACATAAAATGATAATTCTGAGGCTGAAGAGAAGGCTCGGTGGTTAAGAACACTCACTGCTCTTTCAGAGGAGTCAAGTTTAGTTCCCAACACCTACATGGTGGCTTCATAACCATTTGTAATTCCAGCTCCAGACAATCTGACAACCTCTTCTGGCATCCACAGACACTGCACACACATGGTGCTTGTGTCTATGTTCATGCAGGCAAAACACTCATACACATAAAACAACTAAATCAAAAAAAAAAACAAATGAAGTTCTTTCCCATCTCCAAGCCCTGCATGTAAGATGTTCTATCCAGACAATTCAAGGTATATTGGGGTATGCCCTGTGTTTCGTCTCTTGAGGCAGTCTAAAGGCATGTACCTTTGCAGACCACTTGGTAATTGGTACAGCAGTCTCCCCGGGACAGGCAGTCTTCTGAGCAGTGACAGGCATTCTCCTCGTTTCGTACTTCCCCACATCTGTCTTTGGTGCACTCCCAGCCGCGAGCTGAAATCATCAGAGAGGAAACACTCTCGCTGCTGCACGCAGACCAAATGAAAGAGGCCACAGTTGCTTACAGAGGGTTCCAACAAAAAGAGCCAGAAGCCCACATCATTTAATCTGTTTGCGAAACTTGAGTCAGCCAGAGGCCAAGAAGACATTTGGAGAACATACAGATAGGATGAATTTCTAATTTTTCAAAGCAGAGGGCAAAGTCACAGTGCAACTGAGCTCTCATAGAAAAACAAAACCCAGAAAGTCAAAGAGTCCCCGCCCCTCCAGAACTGCCCTAAGTACCACAAAAAGAGAAAGAGTACAAAGAAGCGCTAATGCCCTCAAAATTCTAACTGACCAAAATGTGGCAGGGTACAGAAGGCAGCTCCCTGCCTCTGAGGAGGTCAGTAAATGGGCTACAGTCCTGCCTGAACGATAACTCAGGATTCAAGTCTTCAAGGAAACATTCAAAAAAAGTAACCTTTTCATTTTAATCCCAGCGTTATTGACATTTGGGGGGTGTGGGATTTTTTGGGGTTTGTTTCTGTTTTGTTTGTTTGTTTGTTTGTTTGTTTGTTTGTTTGTTTTTCAAGACAGGGTTTCTCTGTATAACAGTCCTAGCTGTCCTGGAACTCGCTCTGTAGACCAGGCTAGCTCCAAACTCACAGAGATCTGCTCACCTCTGCCTCCCATGTGTTGCGATTAAAGATGTTTGCCACTACCACCCAGCTTATTGTCATATTTTTAATTGATCTTCTTTTCTAGCCAATAAACCACAAGTCTTATGGAAACTTTAAAAAGAAACGTTTCTATTTCATCTCAGATACAAGACTATGAGATTCACTGGCATATTCTAGCTGTTCGATGAACACTTATTAAACTTCCTTAGAATGGTGTTGAAAATGAACTACGATTCTTGAACCTGAGGGCTGTAGTAACATAAAGAGCTTTCACGGCTAATTCTCAGAGTCAGTTTTTCCCATAATCTCTCTGTCTCCTTGTTTTCCATGCTCCAGGTGCTGAGGGCTTAGAGAAGAGCAAAAGACAAGAGCTCCACTGAGCGGTAATGGCGCACACCTTTAACCCCAGCACTCAGGAGGCAGAGGCAGGTGGATCTCAATGAGCTCGAGACCAGCCTGGTCTACATAGGGCTAGTTCCAAGACAGGCTCCAAAGCAACAGAGAAACCCTGTCTTGAAAAAGCAAAACAAAACAAAAGACAAGAGCTCCATTTTCCTGGAGCTCTCATCCAAGAGAGATATTCATGCAATCCCCAGACACCGTCATTCAACCTTGGAAAGGCATGAACGAGGCAGTAGAAGAGCTACTGGCAGAACAGTCAAGAGGAGCGTCTCGGAATTGCAGTACACGTGGACATGCTTAGCCTTCATTTTTCAAGCTGTGTAGTTGGTAGAAAGAAACAATGGTCTTCTAAACCAGTGGTTGTCGACCTAAGGGTCACGACCCCTTTGGAGGATGAACAATCTTTTCACAGGGGTTGCCTAAGACTATCAGATACTTCCCTAAAAACACAGATAATTGCCTTAAAACACATATATTTATGTTATGATACATAACAGTAGCAAAATTACAATGATGAAGTGGCAACAAAATAATTTTTTAGATGGGAGTCACGACGACATGAGGAAATGTATTAAAGAGTCACTGCTCTAAAGCAAGGCTGAACCTTCATGACGTTCTATCAGGAAGAGCCCTTGCTAGGGAATTCAACAGACAGAGCTGGGAGAGTCAGTGAATTATGTTCCAACTGTTTACAGAGCGTTTGCTGCCATTTGAAAGGGTGGTGCTTTAAAAGCCTTATAGATACAGACACTGCCTCCCACATGGTTGTATACATAAATACAAACATAATTATACATACACTATCCAGATGCACTAGACAGGGAGAGTTTATACTGAAATCCTAGGCTTGTTTCCTGGATGGCATAGCAGAACCTGTAAAACTTTCCTCCTCTCGACTTTCCTTTGCTATTTGACATTGGATTCTTCCACATTCAATACTTGTTGACATTAGACACCAGAGAGTAAAGTGCTTTATAAAATGATGCTATGGTCTTATTAAACTAGGAAGAAAGGCCTGAGCTACATTCAAAGAGAATGAAGCTGGAATCAGGGGCACAAACTTTGCAAGGAGTTTGAAGACCATGCTGGAAGGCCGACAGAACTTATCCACAACAAGACTGTCAGAGCACGGCTGAAATGTAAATGTTCTAGATTCCTCGGTGCTAAGTGGACAGATTGCTGGTTTGCAGTTATGTCCTAGAGTCCGAGAGCTCCATGGGACATCTGTTCTGCCTGTGCACTCAATTTACAAGAGCCTCAGTTCTTAAGCTTCTGGAGCCACAGCTGAAGAACCTGGTAGAAGTTCCACGGGAAATGCACAAGAAAAATGTATCTGAACACTTCAAAAATATATTACTGTTGAAATAAGGAGCGGCGGGGCTGCGTCCCCAACACCCCGGCCGCTTGGCTAGCTCATTCCCAAAATAACAACACACAAACTGTGTTCATTTAAGAACTGCTTGGCCCATGAACTCTAGCCCTTACAGGCTAATTCTCGCACCTGGACTAGCCCATTTCTAATGATGTGTGTAAGCACCCCAAGGTGCGCTTACCGGGAAGATTCTAGCCTAAGTCCATCGTGGGTTGCAGCTGCCTGGGAGAGCAGAGCATGGTGGCTGTCCGGTCCCTCTGGAAGCAGCGCAGAGTCTGACCTCACTTCCTCTTCCACCCAGCATCCTATTCTGTTTATTCCTCCCACCTATGTTCTAACCTATCAGGGCCAGCCAAGCAGTTTCTTTATTGCTCAGCCAATGAAATCAACAGATTGATATGACACTCCCACATCATATTACAAAAAAAACTAATAAAGCCCTTATAGTTTTCAAGGCTGTGGGGTAAATAAGTCATAACTAGTAAGGGAATTTATGTCAACTTTTCAAATAAATCCAGAACTAAGGCTTAAGTAAAGGCAATAATGCATCATTGCCAATAATATCATTAAAAAGATCAGACAAATAGCAGTGGTAAGCTGGGCCCTCCAAAATACCACCCATGCGTGAAAGTCATAATTTGTCAGGGGAATTGAGAAATCAGTCTCCAGTGTTCAAAGCGGGATCCTTGCCGTTTTTCTTAGGTAGATTGAATGAGGTTTTGCCCAGGGACAGGGGCATGGTAGTGGACACGCAAGATACCCCAAAAGTCTTATCTAAAAACATTTGGCTTTGAAAACAGAGTAAGCATGAAGACAGAAGTCTCCAAGGATACGCTTCCCTTGCCTGGTGTGCATTCATCCGACAGCTCCTATGTTCCAATGACCACTCCGCTACAGGGTAAAAATAAAGTTGGGAAAATTTTGGAAGATTTCAGAACTGCCCAGAGCACAAGACCCCACATCGATTCCATAAATGTTTTCCATGTGCAGATAGCCGGAAATTAAAACTTTAAACCTAGTACTTTTAAATGGGCACACCCGGAGCCTACATACCCTAGCAGTGAGCATGAGGTGGCAAGAAGGAGGCGGAACTGAGGAAAATGGACAAAGGCCTGGCCTCAAATGCTTTGAAAAGCCATCCTCACTGCCTGCCGTTGGAAAGTGACGTCTTCGGCTGAGTCAAGTTATTCATACAAAGTACATCCTCCATACAACCACCAGTCCTTCAAGAAACAAACTAAAGCCCACTACGAGAAGAGGCTGAAGCAGAGGGACGCCAACAGCTGGGAGTCACTAAGCCTTCTGCTGGGGGTGAGAGGCCTCCAGAAGTCACATACCTGTTTTCAAGCAGAGCTCATCAAAGTCGTGGCAGCAGCTGCTGTAGCTCTTACATAGGTTGTCACAGCGACAGTCAGGGGGTCCCACCTCTTGGAGTTCGAAGCATCTGCCCTTGCAGGATCCAGATGTGTTGGTCCACGGAGAGTCAGATAACTCTGCCGGTCAAACAAGAGGCAAGGACAACAGCTTAGGGGGCGGCCATGGCACACCAGGGGAGGAGTGGCACTTGGAAGCAGTTGGTGTGGAAATGCAGTCAGACTCTGGATGTGAAGCCTGTCTGCAGCATCTGCTACCTGGGTCCCTCAAGCATGTTGCCCGACTTACATAAAGCACAGTTTCCTTATTCGTAAAGTGAGAGGCACGTAACAGTAATTCCAGACTGAAATGAGTGCTGAATGAAGGAACCTGTGATATGCATATCAGAACAGCAAATATAAACAGAATGACAAACGTTGGCTCTCCTCATGATTTTGATTATTAGTACTATACCCACGTAATAGCTAGTGCCCTTCTTGAAATAAGATTTCATCTCTTATCTAATAAACCCATCCTGCTAGCTGAGCATGATCAAGCACTATGCAGAGACACAAGGGTTCAAGGCCGGCGTGGGCTACATAGCAAAGTTTTGTGTGAAAAGTTGTCACCAACAACAACACTGTAAGGAAATTTGAGTGAAAGTGTCCCCAAACCACTCTGACCGCATTCGATAAGAGCAGAGCACTTTTGCAATCTCTTCCACCCAGAAAATCCATGTCGATCTAGTATGACTGGAATAAACGCTGCACGGCAAAAAATAAAGCCTAGTACATTGTCTGCATGTGATATAGTCTAAAATTCTCAAAAATTAACCAAAGTTTAATAAATGAAAAAATGTGATAAGATGAAAATTGGAAAAACTCCTCCTGTGTAGGTAATGTATGATTGGAAATTAACTGGAAGGTCTACCCATAATAGCATCTAAATGAAAAAAATTCAAGATATGGATTTTATAAGACATATGAAGAAATGATTCAATGATTAATAGCACGTACTGTTCTTACAGAGGACTTAAGTTTGGTTTCCAGTATCCATACTGGATGGCTCATAACTGACTATAACTCCAGTGTCAGGGGATCTGACTTCCTCTCTGGCCTCCATGGGCACTGCACTCATATGTACACACACACACACAATTAAAAATAAAATCCTCAGCCGGGCGATGGTGGCGCATGCCTTTAATCCCAGCACTCGGGAGGCAGAGGCAGGCGGATCTCTGCGAGTTCGAGACCAACCTGGTCTACAGAGCTAGTTCCAGGACAGGCTCCAAAGCCACAGAGAAACCCTGTCTCGAAAAACCAAAAAAAAAAAAAAAAAGAATATACTAAAATTTTATGAAAAGGACCGCTCTAGAAAAATCTAGTTAAATCAGAGGCACACAATTTTAAAGATAAAAACATCAATACCATAAAAATCCTAATTCATCCTAAACTAAAATATTCAATACATTCACAGAGAAAGATATCCAGAATTCTAGGAAGTTGAAAGAAAAAGCTAACTGAACTGGGTGGTGGTGGTGCACACCTTTAATCCCCACACTTGGGAGGCAGAAGTAGATGGATCTCTGAGTTTGACGCCAGCTTGATCTACAGAACAAGTTCTAGAACAGCCAGGAATACACAGAGAAACCACATTTCAGATAGAAGGAAGATAGATAGATAGATAGATAGATAGATAGATAGATAGATAGATAGATAGATAGACAAATGAATAAACAAATAAATGAATGGATAAATAAATAAAGTGTTCAAGGAACAAAACAATTCAGTGACAAGATAGAAAAGTATATTCTGAAGGTAAATAATTAAGGCTGATACTAGGAAACACATTCATCAATATTATGGATGAAGCCCAAAATAAAGCCAAATGCATAAGAGTTTCTGTTGTTTAAAAATAGCACTTCAATAGAACATCCCCATTCTCTCAATGTGTGGGTGCACTCCTCGCAGTCCTGAGTTCCTTGCTCGTGCTCCCTCTCCTTCTGCTCCTGATTTGGACCTTGAGATTTCTGTCTGGTGCTCCAATGTGGGTCTCTGCCTCTGTCTCCTTTCCTCGCCTGATGAAGGTTAATATTCAGGAGGATGCCTATATGTTTTTCTTTGGGTTCACCTTCTTATTTAGCTTCTCTAGGATCATTGGGAACTCACCAAGGCCAGCTGGCCTGGGTCTGAAAAAGCCTGGGATAAAACCGAACTTGCTGAACATAGCGGACAATGAGGACTACTGAGAACTCAAGAACAATGGCAATGGGTTTTTGATCCTATTGCACGTACTGGCTTTGTGGGAGCCTAGGCAGTTTGGATGCTCACCTTACTAGACCTGGATGAATGTGGGTGGTCCTTGGACTTCCCACAGGGCAGGGACCCTGATTGATCTTTGGGCTGACAAGGGAAGGGGATTTGTTTGGGGGAGGGAAATGGGAGGCAGTGGCGGGGAAGAGACAGAAATCTTCAATAAATAAATTAATTAATTAAAAAAAAGCACTTCAAAATAAAAACAGTCTCCTAGTTTAAATTTTGCAACATTTTACAAATTCACAAGTAATTGTCTGTCCTTTTTGTTCATTGTCTCCTATTGTCCATGTGTGTAGGTGGATGAAATACATATCACAAACATAACAGGTCTTGGCAAATGTAATTTTTATGACATGCTATTTGTAATTTTGTATTTAGAAAATTACCATTTTTGTAATACATGTATGTATGTATGTATTTATGAATGAATGTATGTATCACTTTTAAAATCCTGAGAAAGCAAGATGCAGGAGAACAGATATTAAATGACAGTTCTAGTTGTGCCCATGCCATTTATCTGAAGAGTTAGCTCATCCCTTAGTCATCCGTCCACTTCAGAGGCAGAAGCACCCAGTCCTAGACTTTATGGCATCAGATCAGTTGAGCTTAAGAAGCCAGAGTCACTAGACCATGAGATGGGAAAGGTTTTCTCACAGCTGATTACGGGACGTTGAAATAAAGACAAACCACATCAAATCAGTCTAGAAAAATCATGTCTGTTTGTCATGCAGTGTCTTACCTCTGCTCCACAAACCACATTTTCTGTTGGTTTTGGCCTGTGCATACTGAGCCATAAGAAACTATGGCAGGCAAGGAGGAAAACTAGAGGAGAAAAAAAAATCCCATAGCAAAAGGAGAAAGAGTAAAAAATGTGTCATGGAACGTTCTTTGCTTAAGGTTAATGCATGGACAGAATCCTTCCAGCGGCTGTCTGATCAATCTGAAGTAGCAATCTCCCCATGAGCTGTGTCTGTAAACATGCTCAGCTCTTCTAACAGGCAAGATAATGAGAAGTCTGAAGGTGTTGCTCAACCTATTGCCTTCTTGGTGGGGTCCCAGCCAGTAATGTTGTCTCTGCTCCATGTTTGTGTTCCTCATCAAAAGCTCATCCCTACATCTGTCTTTACTTGAAAATACCTATGCAGATCCTAAGCTGGGTTGTAATTATTTTTTGCCCAGTCCAACAAGGTGATTTTGTAAATATTTCTTATGACAAGAGCCATTCTCCCAACTTTCCCTTTGCCATCTTTGCAGAGGGTCGCATCCCACTCAACAGCTTGCCTTATCAGCTACAGACAAGCTTGCTGATTGCCTCTGAGGATGGCCGTCAAAGCTGCATCTTTACTACAGAGGCGCATCTCAGTGAAGATGCGCAAGATCAGGCTGTCTGCAGCTTCAGTTAGGAGTGAGCTCCTGTGGGAATCAGAGGAAATGCGCCAACATGCATTCGCGGACAACAACGGCGAATTCAACCAACAATGACAGGAAGAGAAAGGAAGAGTTAGTCTGAGTCATGAAAGAACCTTTCTAATTCAATGATCCCAAGAAGCTTAAAATGTTCCAGCTTCAAAACAGAGAGAGAGGGAGAGAGAGAGAGAGAGAGAGAGAGAGAGAGAGAGAGAGAGAGAGAGAGCAAGCCAGAAACGGTGGTGCACACCTTTGATCCCAGCACTTGGGAGGCAGATGCAGGGGCATCTCTGTGAGTTCAAGGCCAATCTGATCGGCATCGAGAATTCTAGGACAGCCAGAGCAACATAGTAAGACTCTATCTCAAAAATAAAATAAATCAATAAATAAAAACAAAATGGGGCTTGAATTAAAAATCCACTTGGCCTTTCCAGGACTATCCCATCCTGTCTCCCACTGCCGGAACAAGCATGGGCCTGTTCATTCTACAAGTCACCTCTATACACCAGCTTTTAAAAAAAAAAAAAAAAAAAAAAAAAAAAAAAAAAAAAGTTTCCCCAGGGTCTTTGTTTTTCCTTACATCCAGTCATCTAAGAATAGATTTTTTGTTTTGTTTTGTTCTGTTTTGTTTGGAGAAAGCTGCATGTGTCCATGTGGATAAACAATGTGCACGTGTGCAGGCGCACACCCTGCACTGCAGCCCACATGTGGGAGTCAGATGAAAACTCCGGGGAACGGGTTCTTTCCTTGCACCTTTACATGGTTTCCATGGATGTTGGTCATTTGGGTTTAAGTAGCACGCACTCTTCCCCTCTGAGGCATCGCACTAGCCCTAGACCTTTTGAAGATTTGTCTTTTCATTGCAACTGGGTGATGCCAAATATGGAAAGGGTCCTCAATAACGTGCCAGAGTTTTGCAGCGAAGACCCTCCTTTATTCAGGAGAGCAACATAGCACTTCCGTTCTCTAACTCACTGAGAGGAGGAAAATGGCACGGCAATGAACTGCTGCCACCCCAAAATTTCCATCGTCACTGAGGAAACCAGAAAAATCACCGAATACAGAAGACACCAAAGCAAGCCAACGAAAAGCATTCACAAGTACTGAGTGAGAACAAGAGTGTGTGACAAGACGTTTGCCTGTACTCCTATGACACCGAGATTATAAACTGCCTTCAATCTGCTTCTTCAAACAATGCTATTTCACTTGAGAGAGGAAGCCTGCTCTCTAATCTTAAAAGGCAGATGTTACCGGTCTATATAAGTCAGTTTTGAGGGACTTTGAATGTTAAAATGGAAATACACAACTATAATCTGCAACAGAGTCAGTACTGTGTGCTCCTTCTCACCCAAGTATAATTTCATGGTTCAACAAAATGCAAATGTAAGTTACATTTCTTTTCTTCAAATCTGTAATTC